AAACATTGTAGATTTGTTTTGCTGATGGACATTTAAAGAGCTCGAGTCATTGGTTGTAGTCTTTGGTTGTAGTCACTGGTTGTAGCCATGGGTTGTAGTCATTGTTTGTAGTCACTGGTTGTAGTCACTGGTTGTAGTCACGGGTTGTAGTCACGGGTTGTAGTCATGGGTTGTAGTCATTGGTTGTAGTCATGGGTTGTGGTCATGGGTTAATAGTCATTGTTGTAGTCACTGGTTGTAGTCACTGGTTGTAGTCATGGGTTGTAGTCATGGGTTGTAGTCATGGGTTGTAGTCAATGGTTGTAGCCATGGGTTGTAGTCATTGTTTGTAGTCACTGGTTGTAGTCACTGGTTGTAGTCACGGGTTGTAGTCACGGGTTGTAGTCATGGGTTGTAGTCATTGGTTGTAGTCATGGGTTGTGGTCATTGTTTGTAGTCACTGGTTGTAGTCATGGGTTGTAGTCACGGGTTGTAGTCATGGGTTGTAGTCATGGGTTGTAGTCATGGGTTGTAGTCAATGGTTGTAGCCATGGGTTGTAGTCATTGTTTGTAGTCACTGGTTGTAGTCACTGGTTGTAGTCACGGGTTGTAGTCACGGGTTGTAGTCATTGGTTGTAGTCATTGTTTGTAGTCACTGGTTGTAGTCATTGGTTATAGTCATTGTTTGTAGTCAATGGTTGTAGCCATGGGTTGTAGTCATTGGTTGTAGTCATTGTTTGTAGTCACTGGTTGTAGTCATGGGTTGTAGTCATGGGTTGTAGTCATTGGTTGTAGTCATGGGTTTTAGTCATGGGTTGTAGTCATGGTTGTAGTCATGGGTTGTAGTCATGGGTTGTAGTCATTGGTTGTAGCCATGGGTTGTGGTCATTGGTTGTAGTCAATGGTTGTAGTCATGGGTTGTGGTCATTGGTTGTACCCATGGGTTGTGGTCATTGGTTGTAGTCAATGGTTGTAGCCATGGGTTGTGGTCATTGGTTGTAGTCATGGGTTGTGGTCATTGGTTGTAGTCATTGGTTGTAGTTTTCAGCAGATGTGTAGATTATTATTTCGGGTCAAGGAGCGACTCCATGCACATGGCTGATTTTCTCCAGGTAAGCCTCAGTGGTAATGGAGGAGAATGAGATCAAGATCGACTTTTCACCCAGCAAACCACATGACTGAAGACCATCCATGTATTAACCGCATAACCGCCCGGCCAATTTTGACTTTTCTCACATACAGTTGTGTTCAAAATAATCGCAGTGTGTTGAAAAAAGTGAATAAAGCTGAAAAATCCTTCTAATAGCTTTTATTTTCCATCCACACAAATGCATTGGGAACACGACACATTCTATTCCAAATCACAACATGAAGAAAAATACATCAAATTTGTGTTGTTCCTCTAAAAAAATGGAAGAAAAGTGAATATTAGACGGTTCAAAAAAATCGCAGTGTTTGTATTCTTCTTTACAAACTCCAACATTCACTATATAAACTGAGAAATGTTTGAAGATTTTGCTTTCCTTTGAATGACTTCATGAATATTTGGTTGTAGTCGCACTGTTTCTGAGAACTGCTGTACATCTGTGTTGCATGGAGTCCCCCAACTTCTGGCCCCTGTGATCAGGTATTCCAGCCCAGGATGATTGGACCACATTCCACAGTTCTTCTCTATTTCTTGGTTTGGCCTCAGAAACGGCATTTTTGATGTCACCCCACAAGTTTTCTATTGGATGAAGATCCGGGGATTGGGCTGGCCACTCCATAACGTCCATCTTGTTGGTCTGGAACCAAGATGTTGTACGTTTACTGGTGTGTTTGGGGTCGTTGTCTTGTTGGAACACCCATTTCAAGGGCATTTCCTCTTCAGCATAAGGCAGCATGACCTCTTCAAGTATTCTGATGGATTCAAACTGATCCATGATCCCTGGTATGCGATAAATAGGCCCAACACAGTAGTATGAGAAACATCCCCCATATCATGATGCTTTGCACCACCATGCTTCACGGTCTTCACTGTGTACTGTGCTTGAATTCAGTGTTTGGGGTCGTCTGACAACTGTCTCCGCCCATCTAGACCCAAAAAGAACAATCTTACTGTCATATCAGTCAACAAAATGTTGACCATTTCTCTTAGGGAGGGCCGGAGTGTCAATGTCACTACACTGCTCTTGGCAGATTGTAACCTCTCAGCACGTTCTTTTCTCCAACAGTGGGGGACTTTGCGGGGACTTCTTGCAGACAGCTTGGCTTCACATCGGCGTCTTTAATTGTAACAGTCAAACCTCACAGGGAACGTCACACCTTCTTTCATCTTCCTGGAGCTGATTGTTGGCTGAGTCCTCACAGGGGAACGTCACACCTTATTTCATCTTCCTGGGGCTGATTGTTGGCTGAGTCGCGCCATGTTGGCTATTCTTCTATCCATTCCAATGGTATTTTTTTTCGCTTTCTTCCACGTCTTTCAGGTTTTGGTTGCCATTTTAAAGCATTTGCCATCATTTTAGCTGAGGCAGAAATCCGATCATTTTCTGCACTTCTTATATTTGTTTTTCCCTCCAATCAACTTTTTAATCAAAGGTACGCTGTTCTTCTGAACAATGTCTGGAACGACCCATTTTCCTCAGAATGTTCAGAGAGAAATGCACTGTCCACCAGCAATGTCCAACATTGCTGCCTTCCTTCCTTAAATAAGGGCAATAATTGCCACCTGTTTTAGAGTCTGGAATTGTTGTTGTTTTTTTTATATACTAGTAATGTCGGCCAATCCCCCCCCCATATCAAGCAGGACTGCGGTGGGCATTCTGACAGGGGGGGGGGGGGGGGGGGGACTGACTTGGTGTCACTGACTTCCCCAGTGACACCAATACACTGATCGATGCTAATAAAAAGCGCTGACGCTGTACTAATGGCACTGGGCAGGAAGGGGTTAACATGTGGGGGGGCGATCAAAGGGGTTAACTGTGTGCTGTGTGTGTGTTACTAGGAGACATGCTGTGCAGAGAGATACAAAGCAGCATGTCCCTTGCTGGCAGGAGAAAGACCTGTGTTGTTTACATACAGACCTCTCCCCTGTCAGTGACTGTGGTGCTGTGTGCGATTTACTAGGGAGACATGCTGTGCAGAGAGATACATAGTTACAGACAGTAGTTACAATAGTTAGTCTGGCTGAAAAAAGACAAAAGTCCCTTCCAGTTCAACCATAGAAAAAAAAAAAAATACAAAGCAGCATGTCCTTGCTGACAGGAGAGAGACCTGTGTTGTGTACACAATCAGGGCGGGACTGACAACTCATGGGCCCCCGGGCAATAGGGGATCATGGGGCTCCTGTTTGTCCTTGCCCAAACTCAAAAAAGCCTTATGAAAAAGGTACCAGGGCATCTCATGGGCCCCCTACTGACCCGGGACCCTTATGGCAGTGCCAAGTTTTCCAAATGGTCAGTCCGCCCCTGGTTTCACATACAGAACCTCTTCCCTATCAGGTTTCCTCGGCGATCGCCGGTTGCCGGCGGAGACCCAGTAATTGACATTCCTAGCCGCCAATGGTGTCGCCCCCCCCTCCAACTCAGAAGGCAAAGTCACGTATATATATTAGTTTGCGCAGAACCTGCATGCAAGTAGTTCTGCTGTAAGGCGGTTCGGGAAAGCGGTTTTTATTTAAGCTTGTCGCCATTGCACGAGCGTGGCGCAATTTTTTAAAAGCGTGACATGTTTGGTATTTATTTTCTTCGGCATGACATCATCTTTTATATTTTACCAAATCATTGGGTTATTATATTGTGTTTTTGTGCATTAAAGTGTGGTGGTTTAAAAAAAAAAACTTGTTTGGGAAAAACTGCTTGCACAAACACCGTGTGAAATATAAAATTGCAACGCCCAGCATTTTATTTCCAGGGCCCTCTCCGTAAAATAAAAAAAAGAAAAAAAAATCATATTTGGGGGTCCAAATATTTTCTAGTACAAAAAAAAAAATGCAGGATTTTTTACATGTAGGAGAGAAATGTCAGAATCGTCCTGGGTAGGAAAATACAGCATTATGACCCACTAGATGTCCTGATTGGTAATAAGTACTTATTTTCTATGATCAGCAGCTCCATCTAGTGGTCATAATGGCGGTACAGGTGAAGAACATTCCCGACCGGAGAGAAAAATAGCCTAACAACATTCGTCTTTTGACCCCATTCACACAGAACAAGACGAACGTTTGCAGTTTCACAGGATGAATAACTCAGCTGTTTTAATTAATACCGCCCTTAAGAGGATTCTTTGTACCGTATTTTCCGGCGTAAAAGACGACTCTTTAACCCTTGAAAATCTTTCTCAAAAGTCGGGGGTTCGTCTTATACGTATACCGGTAATGGACGGCAAAACATTGCTGACACTTGGTGTCAGGCAGCACCGCCGCCGCCCCCCCCCCCCTTTCCAACGGTGGAAAGGGACACTAAGTAACAGGGGGTGGGCAGGGGGCTGCTGTTTCTTACCTGGCTCCGGTCCCCAGTCCCATGATGAATCCAGTCCAGGAAGCGCGGCTGCTCCTTCATTCAGTTCGGGGCCGCTGGGATGTTCGCGCGGCCGCTCGGCTCGCTCCTCCTCACCAGTGATTGGCCGCCAGAAACTGTAGCTTAGGAAAGGCAACACAGGCGGCCAATCACCGACGACGAGGAGGCGGAAAGCTGAGCGCGGCCCCAACCGAAAAACTCGAGTGAGGGAGCGGGCGGTAAGTGTGCTGTGCAGTAGGTGCTGCATATGCAGCTGGCTGCAGCAGCATCATACTGGAAACATCGTTAGAGCAAGTGTAAATGGTGTCCAGAGGGAGGAATAGTATGCCCCATCATTGGTGTCAGTGGGATGAATAGTTGCCACACCATCATTGGTGTCAGTGGGGAATAGTGCCCCATCATGGTGTCAGTGGGAGGAATAGTGCCCCATCAATTGGTACAGTGGGAGGAATAGTGCCCCATCATTGGTATCCAGTTGGGATGGAATAATGCCCCGTCATTGCGTGTCAGTGGGAGAATTTAGTGCCCCATCATTGGTATCAGTGGGAGGAATAGTGCCCCGTCTATTGTGTCAGTGGGCGGAATAGTGCCACCCATCAATGTGTGTCAGTGGGAGGAATAGTGCCCCATCATTGGTATCAGTGGAGGAATAGTGTCCCCGTCATTGGTGTCAGTGGGAGGAATAGGTGCCCAACATGGTGACAGTGGGAGGAAATAGTGCCCCATCATTAGTGTCAGTGAAAGGAATGGTGCCCCATAATTTGGTGTCAGTGGGAGGAATGGTGCCCCAATAATTGGTGTCAGTGGAGGAATAGTGCCCCAACATTGGTAATCAGTGGGAGGAATTAAGTGCCCCCATCATTGTATCAGTGGGAGGAATAGTGCCCCGTCATTGGTGTCAGTGGGAGGAATAGTGCCCCATCATTGGTATCAGTGGGAGGAATAGTGAGCCCCGTCATTGGTGTCAGTGGGAGGAATAGTGCCACCATCATTGGTGGTCAGTGGGAGGAAATAGTGCCCCATCATTGGTAACAGTGGGAGGAATAGTGCCCCGATCATGGTATTCAGTGGGAGGAATAGTGCCCCGTCATTGGTGTCAGTAGGGAGGAATAGTGCCCCATCATTGGTGTCAGTGGGAGGAATAGTGCCCCGTTCATTGATGTCAGTGGGAGAGAATAGTGTCCATCATTGGTGTCAGTGGGATTGAATCGTGCTCCCTTTCATTGGTATCAGTGGGAGGAATAGTGCCCCATCATTGGTGTCAGTGGATGAAAATAGTGCCCATTCATAGTGTCCAGTGGGAGAGAATAGTGCCCCATTCATTGGTGCGTCAGTGGGAGGAATAGTGCCCCATAATTGGTTGTCAGTGGGGAGGAATGGTGCCCCATAAATTGGTGTCGTGGGAGGAATAGTGCCCCATAATTGGTGTCAGTGGGAAGAATAGTGCCCCATCAATTTGGTGTCAGTGGGAGGAATAGTGCCCCATCATTGGTGTCAGTGGGGAGGAATAGTGTCCTCCCATCATTGGTATCAGTGGGAGGAATAGTGCCCCATCATTAGTGTCAGTGGGAGGAATGGTGCCCCATCATTGGTGTCAGTGGAGGAATAGTGCCCCATCATTGGTGTCAGTGGGGAGGAATGGTTGCCCCATCATTTGGTGTCAGTGGGAAAGAATAGATGCCCCATCATTGGTGTCAGTTGGGAGGAATAGTGCCCATCCTTGGTGTCAGTGGGAGGAATAGTGTCCCCATCATTGGTATCAGTGGAGGAATAGTGCCCCATCATTGGGTCAGTGGAGGACTAGTGCCCCATCATTGGTGTCAGTGGGAGGAATAGTGCCCCATCATTGGTGTCAGTGGGAGGAATAGTGCCCCACTCATTTGGTAGTCAGTGGGAGGAATAGTGCCCCATCATTGGTATCAGTGGGAGGAATAGTGCTCCATCATTGGTGTCAGTGGGAGGGAATAGTGCCCCATCATTGGTTGTCACAGATATTAATGATGGCCCCCATCATATTCTCCCACTGACACCAACGAAGGGGCACCATTCTTCGCAAGTGTAAAAAACGCAAACCGCAAGGCAGAAATGCCCATCCAAACGCAAACACTGCAAAAAAAAATTATTTTTGGGGGGGGTTAAAAAAATGTAAAACCGCAAATGTGGAAAAAGCGAGCAAAACTAAACGCTAATGCACAAACACTAACGAAACGCTGAAAAACTTTATCAAAACGTTATTAAAACGCCTGGTGTGCATGGAGCCTGAGTGCCCTGGAAAGTCCCAAGCGGGGGGGCCCAGGCTCCCTGGGGTGCCTTGAGGTTTCTTCAGGGGTGCCTTGGCTAAATATTGCCCAAAACTTGTATACAATCCTGCCTTGTAGTTACAAAGCCACAGGTTCCCATTGTGCACCATTATGACCTTCTAGCTGCCGGCGTCCTGACAACCAATGACATCATCAGTTGGTAAGGAGGATGTCAGCTGCCTGCACAGCATCCTAGTCTGACCCTCCCCCGCCCCTCTCCATCAGTGCTGGGGTCACATTAGCTCAGTGATGGAGAAAAACTGAGGGAGAGAAGAAACATTGGCATATTAGTCAGTACCAGGGTACAAAAGTGTATTTGCTTTGGAAGAATAAATCCCCTCCAATGTTGGGTGTCCTACATGTGTGGGTGTTGCTGTGTTATAGAAAACTATTATAATCATTTGTCACATTTTAGAATGGGGTGCCTCGGGACTGTCCATCATTTTAAAGGGTGCCTCGGGACTGTCCATCATTTTAAAGGGTGCCTCGGGACTGTCCATCATTTTAAAGGGTTCCTCGGGACTGTCCATCATTTTAAAGGGTGCCTCGGGACTGTCCATCATTTTAAAGGGTGCCTCGGGACTGTCCATCATTTTAAAGGGTTCCTCGGGACTGTCCATCATTTTAAAGGGTTCCTCGGGACTGTCCATCATTTTAAAGGGTGCCTCAGGACTGTCCATCATTTTAAAGGGTGCCTCGGGACTGTCCATCATTTTAAAGGGTTCCTCGGGACTGTCCATCATTTTAAAGGGTGCCTCGGGACTGTCCCATCATTTTAAAGGGTGCCTCGGGACTGTCCATCATTTTAAAGGGTTCCTCGGGACTGTCCATCATTTTAAAGGGTTCCTCGGGACTGTCCATCATTTTAAAGGGTGCCTCAGGACTGTCCATCATTTTAAAGGGTGCCTCGGGACTGTCCATCATTTTAAAGGATGCCCCGGGACTGTCCATCTATTTAAAGGGTGCCTCGGGACTGTCCGTCTATTTAAAGGATGCCCCGGGACTGTCCGTCTATTTAAAGGGTGCCTCGGGACTGTCCGTCTATTTAAAGGGTGCCTCGGGACTGTCCGTCTATTTTAAAGGATGCCCCAGGACTGTCCGTCTATTTAAAGGATGCCCCGGGACTGTCCATCTATTTAAAGGGTGCCTCGGGACTGTCCGTCTATTTAAAGGGTGCCTCGGGACTGTCCGTCTATTTAAAGGATACCCCGGGACTGTCCGTCTATTTAAAGGGTGCCTCGGGACTGTCCGTCTATTTAAAGGGTGCCTCAGGACTGTCCATCATTTTAAAGGGTGCCTCAGGACTGTCCATCATTTTAAAGGGTGCCTCGGGACTGTCCATCTATTTAAATGGTGCCTCGGGACTGTCCGTCTATTTAAAGGATGCCCCGGGACTGTCCGTCTATTTAAAGGGTGCCTCGGGACTGTCCATCTATTTAAAGGGTGCCTCAGGACTGTCCATCATTTTAAAGGGTGCCTCTGGACTGGCCATCATTTTTAAAGGGTGCCCCGGGACTGTCCATCTATTTAAAGGGTGCCTCTGGACTGGCCATCATTTTAAACCCCTTCACGCCGGCACCTCCCAGCCCTTTAAGGGTTTCAGAAGCCGGGAGGCGGGGGGGGGTTTAGGGTCATGTGACACGCTGTCACCGCGGTCACATGATCGGGAAAGGTCTCAATCGAAAGAGGAGATCAGGACTTATCCATGAGTACCGGACATGTGTGCTGGGAGTGTGCAGGGCGAGCGCTCTCAGCACATATGTTCTTTTTTAATAGAACGCAAATGTGTGACCGGTCGGCGTCCTAGGCCCAGATACAGGGAGGACGCATATTTGCATTCGGCTGGCGTGAAGAGGTTAACCACTCACCTACCGGGCACTTCTACCCCCTTCCTGCCTACCGGGCACTTCTACCCCCTTCCTGCCCACCGGGCACTTCTACCCCCTTCCTGCCTATCGGACACTTCTACCCCCTTCCTGCCTACCGGACACTTCTACCCCCTTCCTGCCTACCGGGCACTTCTACCCCCTTCCTGCCTACAGGGCACTTCTACCCCCTTCCTGCCTACCGGACACTTCTACCCCCTTCCTGCCTACAGGGCACTTTCTACCCCCTTCCTGCCTACAGGGCACTTCTACCCCCTTCCTGCCTACAGGGCACTTCTACCCCCTTCCTGCCTACCGGGCACTTCTACCCCCTTCCTGCCTACAGGGCACTTCTACCCCCTTCCTGCCTACCAGGCACTTCTACCCCCTTCCTGCCTACAGGGCACTTCTAACCCTTCCTGCCTACAGGGCACTTCTACCCCCTTCCTGCCTACAGGGCACTTCTACCCCCTTCCTGCCTACAGGACACTTCTACCCCCTTCCTGCCCACCCGGGCACTTCTACACCTTTCCTGCCTACAGGGCACTTCTACTACCCCCTTCCTGCCTACAGGCACTTCTACCCCCTTCCTGCCTACAGGACACTTCTACCCCCTTCCTGCCTACAGGACACTTCTACCCCCTTCCTGCCTACCGGGCACTTCTACCTCCTTCCTGCCTACCGGACACTTCTACCCCCTTCCTGCCTACAGGGCACTTCTACCCTCTTCCTGCCTACAGGGCACTTCTACCCCCTTCCTGCCTACAGGGCACTTCTACCCCCTTCCTGCCTACAGGGCACTTATACCCCCTTCCTGCCTACCGGACACTTCTACCCCCTTCCTGCCTACAGGGCACTTCTACCCCCCTTCCTGCCTACAGGGCACTTCTACCCCCTTCCTGCCTACCGGGCACTTCTACCCCCTTCCTGCCTACAGGGCACTTATACCCCCTTCCTGCCTACCGGACACTTATACCCCCTTCCTGCCTACAGGACACTTCTACCCCCTTCCTGCCTACAGGGCACTTCTACCCCCTTCTTGCTTACAGGGCACTTCTACCCCCTTCCTGCCTACAGGACACTTCTACCCCCTTCATGCCCCCCGGGCACTTCTACCCCCTTCCTGCCTACAGGGCACTTCTACCCCCTTCCTGCCTACAGGGCACTTCTACCCCCTTCCTGCCCACCGGGCACTTCTACCCCCTTCCTGCCTACAGGGCACTTCTACCCCCTTCCTGCCTACAGGGGCACTTCTACCCCCTTCCTGCCTACAGGACACTTCTACCCCCTTTCCTGCCTACAGGACACTTCTACCCCCTTCCTGCCTACAGGGCACTTCTACCCCCTTCCTGCCTCCCGGGCACTTATACCCCCTTCCTGCCTACAGGGCACTTCTACCCCCTTCCTGCCTACAGGGCACTTCTACCCCCTTCCTGCCTCGGCCAATTTTCTGCTTTCAGCACTGTCACACTTTGAATGACAATTGCGCGGTCATGCAACACTGTACCCAGATGGAATTTTTATCATTTTTTTGTGACAGATAGAGCTTTATTTTGGTGGTATTTAATCACCTCGGGGTTTTTTATTTTTTGCTAAATAAACCAAAAACTACTGAAAATTTTGAAAAAAAAAGTTTTTGTTATAAAATTTTATAAATAAGTGATTTTTCTCCTTCACTGATGTGCGCTAATGAGGCTGCACTGATGGACACTGATAGGTGGCACTGATGGGTGATAGGCTGCACTGATGGGCACTGATAGGTGGCACTGATGGACACTGATGAGGAGGCACTGGTATAGTGGCAATGATAGGCATTGACAGGCATCACTGAATAGGCAGCACTCATACTGGCACTGATAGGCACTGATAGGCAGCACTGACT